AACTTTGATTTTAAGTTCCAGGATACAGGTTCAGGATGTACAGGTTTGTTACGTAGGTAAATGTGTGTTAGGGTGGTTTGTTGCACAAATCAACCCATCACTTAGGTATTAAACCCAGCATCCATTAGCTATTCTTTCTGATGCTCTCTCTCCCCCAACCCTCCCACATGCTCCAGTGTGTGTTGTTACCCCATGTGTCCATGTGTTCGAATCATTCAATTCCCACTTTTAAGTGAGAACATGCCATGTTCCTGTGAATGGTTTTCTTTTCTTTCTTTATTTCTTTCTTCGGAGACAAAGTCTCACTCTGTTACACAAACTGGAGTGCAGTAGCACTCCAGAGCTGAGTGTACTCAGCTCACTGCAACCTCTGCCTCCCAAGTTCAAGGAATTCTCCTGCCTCAGCCTCCCGAGTACTGGGGTTACAGGTGGGCGCCACCACAGTCAGCTAATATTTGTATTTTTAGTAGAGATGGGGTTTCACCATGTTGGCCAGGCCAGTCTTGAACTCCCAACCTCAGGTGATCACCTGCCTCAGCCTCCCAAAGTGCTGGGATTACAAGCCTAAGCCACCATGCCCGGCCTCATGTTTGGTTTTCTGTTCCTGTGTTAGTCTGCTGAGGATAATGGCTTCTAGCTCCATCCATGTCACTGCAAAAGACATGATCTGATTCCTTTTCATGGCTGCATAGTATTCCATGGTGTATATGCACCACATTTTCTTTATCCAGTCTATTATTGATAGGCACTTAGGTTGATTCCATTTCTTTGCTATTGTGAATAGCAAATAGTTTTTGTCTTTTTTTTTTTTTAGATGGAATCTCACTCTGTCACCAGACTGGAGTGCCATGGTGATATCTAGGCTCACTGCAACCTCTGCCTCCCAAGTTCAAGGAATTCTCCTGCCTCAGCCTCCCGAGTACTGGGGTTACAGGTGGGCGCCACCACAGTCAGCTAATATTTGTATTTTTAGTAGAGATGGGGTTTTGCCATGTCGGCCAGGCTGATCCCGAACTCCTGACTTCAGGTGATCCACCCACCTCGGCCTCCCGGAGTGCTGGGATTACACACGTGAGCCACTTTTCCATTTTATTTGCGTGCCGCTCTCACACTTCGTCTCCTCTCAGAGGTCAAAGGCTGCGCCAGGCTCCTCCCTCCCAGTAAATTCTTCCTCTACTTAGGCCAGGAAGGACTTCTGGTAGGTGTGCCCCAGCGGCTGGTCAAAGTCTAGATCTTCTCATCTCACTTGGACCTATGATGGCACAGCAAAACCCTCACACCTTCTCACCTTCCCCATGAACTGTGAGCCTGTATACTTAAGTTCAAATCCAATCCCTTTTCTGGACTCCATATTCTCTAGGCACTACAGAATTTTAAAACTTCTTAGTTTATGAACTTAATTCTGTGTCCCAGGCAGTACAAGTCAAAGCTTTCTGAGGTTAAGAACTTTCCACTAAAATCCCATGTCTTTTCTCATCACACTAACTGAGGTTTCAGTCAATATTTGCTTGACTGACAATGACAAATACAGGTGGATTTTCTTAGTGAATGCTAAGCACCTCTCCAACGGCAAAATATTAGACTTCCAAATAAGTAACCCAATTTTTCGATTTCCATCTTCCTCTCCCTGACAACGAAGGTGAAAACTGAGAGTAAAACAAAAATACGACAACATTCAAAAAGCCGTAACATACCTAAGCTAGTTGAGTCTGTTTGCTGAATAAAACGCATTAAGATCAAGTTTGGGTAATTGGCTCTCCCCTAGGTCAATTGGCTTCGCCCAGAGATAAACTTTTCTGAAGGCAAAGCCGGGTCCCATTCCTAACCCCTGCCCTTCTCCACTCTATTGAAGGGAGGATTGCATAATTTCTAGCAAAAAATTTCTGCCTGATTCATGTTATATTTTATTCCTGTTGATACCACTTTCTTTAACAATGAAGAACATTTTTCCACTTATTTGAGTTTCAACAAACTAATCAGAACATAATAAGATCAAGTTCATATTGAAAAATGTGAAAACAGAGTCTGAATAGAAGATTTTTTCCCACTAAATATTAAGTACCCATTGTATATGTTAGATGATCCATCATATAGATCACACTGAGTAGTGACTTAATAAGAAGGGGTTAAAAAAAAAATCCAAAAAGAAATTGGAGAGTTTTAGAAGGAATCTTATCCATTTGATTTATTGTAAAGGAAAGGAAGCCAAGATCGAAAGAGTTTGCTCTGTCTCATGCCATGACACAAGTTAGAGGCGGAGCTCAGGGATGACTTGGCAAAATCAAAATAACAAGTGTAAAGATATTGTGCAGTCGCCTGGAATCCCAGTACTTTGCGAGACCGAGGTGGGCAGATCACAAGGTCAGGAGTTTGAGACCAGCTTGACCAACATGGTGAAACCCCATCTCTACTAAAAAATACAAAAATTAGCTGGGTGTGATGGCACACACCTATAATCTCAGCTACTCAGAAGGCTGAGGCAGGAGAATTGCTGGAACCTGGGAGGAGGAGGTTACGGTGAGCCGAGATTGCACCATTGCACTCCAGCCTGGGCAACAGAGCAAGATGCCGTCTCTCAAAAAAAAATAAATAAATAAATAAGATATTGTAGATATTGTGCAGTTAGAGGCATATTTGGAAATTGTCCAAGTTCAAGACAGTGCTATGTTACTAATCTTGATTCAACTAGTTATGCCTTTTCTACCTTTTAATTTTATACTGTCAGTTTTTATTGCGGCATAGTTTCTATTATTTTCATTAAACGTAGCCATACTCAAGTTAATACCACCAAGGAAACCAGGTGAATCAGGATTGTATATTGCCACCAGATTTAAAGGTTTAACTTTGTGGTTTGTGTGGTAATTCAGACCTGGAAAAAAAGTAGATAGTTATTTTCCCCCCATTTTTTTTCCCCCTAGAGATAGGGTCTCGCTATATTCCCAGGCTAGACACCATCTCTTGGGTTCAAGAGATCCTCCTGCCTCAGCCTCCTGAGTTGCTAGGACTACAGGTACACACCACTGCACCTGGCAATATTATAGAGTTTTAACATTATAAACATATGTACGATTAGAGCAAGTTTGGGAAAATGGAATGGATATATTGCCTGAAGCAGTGTAGAACACACCAGTGCAGCATAAAAATTATTTTGAGCAGAAGGAATTTAAGTTCTGAAATCTGTTATCTGCCTAAAAGCAGAGCCTTCCAAAAGAACTCAAGAGAACTTACGTGCCATAGATCCCCTCCCTGGAAGCAATCAGGGAAGACTGACTCTTACCACCAGAGATGAGACGTCTTCTACCACACCCGAACAGATATTGTCACTAAAACTCTCATATCACTGGTCTATTCTCCTAAGTACCCATTTATGTTTCTAAAAAGTCATTTGTTTTCTCATAAGTGCCCTTCTTCTCTTCCATTTCTCCTATTCAGATGGCATATATAAAACAAAACAAAAAACAAAAAACCACTCACATAAAAAGAAAAAAAAAAGACGGCATGTAAGCCCCAAATTCTAACTGCCCATCTGAGTCACTTTTCTTTTTTTTTTTGAGATAGGTTCTGGTTGCCCAGGCTGGAATGTAGTGGCATAATCATACCTCACTGCAACCTCTGAGTCACATTTACTTGGAAACACCCACATCGGTGTACGTACAATTAAATTTTGTTTTCTCTTAATAATCTTTCTTCTGCCAATTTCATTTGCTGGCCCCTGGTAACAAATCTAAGAGGGAACAGGAGAAGATTTTTCTCCCTGACACATCTGTAACCTCACCATCAGAGTAACACATCTATTATCAATTTTGCACATTCAATCCTTTCTACTTCATTTACTTCTTACATGATTATAATTCTGGTTAACATGATCTGTTATTAAATATTTATCTCAGGGACATGACAATTAGTGGTAAAGTAACAGAAATGTATGACCTTTTATAAGCTAAATGACTTAGATAAAATAATAAAATAGGCCATGAAAAACATAATAATCTAGCATCTGGAAGATGTACAAACATGATGAGAATTATTCACTAAGAATAATTACTTGTAACTTGAGACCCAGAGAAAGTTCCCTTGGCCTTTTTTTAAAAAAATAAAACAAAAATACCATCAGATTGATGTAACAACAGGTTTGTGGATTCTTGAGTAAATGAGTCTGCCTTAAGTGAAAAAGTCAATTTAACATCATTATTGCCAGTGAAAGTTCTGTTATCAAACGTTATTTGGTTTTCATTAGCTTTCTTTTGGAGGAAAAGATAAAAGCAATTGGTGCTCACAGTTTCTGACTAGAAAAGGAACAATTAAATAGCTGAACCCTTCTCTCCCAGTCTTCCCTGCATTTAGCCATCTGTCCCTTGTTGGGAGAGCCTGGATATCAATTATTCTAAAAAGAAATTGAGAGTGAGATTTCAAAAAGGCAACAGCAACAAAGAAAGGGGAGAGCACAGCAAACCACAAGCCTTTCATCGTAAAAAAGGGGAGCCCGTGTGGGGGAACTGCATTACAGCTCAATTGAGAACTTTTTCCCACCTTGTAATCTAAAGAGGGCAATATCAGTTTTCATCTCAGAGTACCATTTTTTTTTCTACTAGTTTCTCAACAGTGAGCCTTCCACAAATGATGTTTGACTATTTCTAGATCACAACTCCTTAAAAGCCAGATTTATGAGCTGTGATTATGTAGGTAAAAAGGTAAGAAAATTACTGAAAGTCCTTCTTTGTCCACCCACCCCAGCAACATGCACATTTTCTCTCTTGCAGGGTTTTAGGATTCATCAGCAGCTGCAGTGAACCCTGTAGGATCATCCCTAAACACTTTTGCCAAGACCGAAAATATGAATCTGCAGACAGAGCATTTTGTAAATGATCAGGAGTCCTTTTCCTTTTTTGCCAGCTAGTAGTTAGTCAAAATGCTGTTTTGTAAATAAATCGTCCTCAGAAACCTCATCAGGTCAGATCTAAATGTATCAGCTTGAGGAAAACAAACAGGAAAGCACTTACCAGTTAATTTTCTGGGATGAGAGAAGCTATTGTCCCACCAGAATGAAATGGAGAATGGTGTTCTAAACCGCTTCGTTCCTCCTTCCACTGGTATCTGGCTTTTGAAATGACAGTGTAGACAAGAATGATGTTGGGTTTTGAATGTGGTTCTTTCCTTCCCCCACCACCCTCCACAAAAAATTAATCTTACAGGCCGGGCGGGGTGGCTCATACCTGTAATCTCAACACTTTGGGAGGCTGAGGCAGGCGGATCACAAGGTCAGGAGTTCAAGATCAGCCTGGACGACATAGTGAAACCCCCCCATCTTTACTAAAAATACAAAAATTAGCCGAGCATGGTGGTGCACGCCTGTAGTCCCAGGTACTCAGGAGGCTGGGGCAGGAGAATCATTTGAACCTGGGAGGTACAGGTTGCAGTGAGCTGAGATTGTGCTACTATACTCCAGCCTGGGTGACAGAGCAAGACTCCCTCTTGGGGGAAAAAAAACTCATCATGCAATCCATGAAGAAAGTAAGCAATGAACATCTGTACAAATTAATTCTCTCTCCTAGCCTGTGTTTGTGTAACGAGTTTGATTTTTGAACGGAAATAATTGCTACTAGCTGTTCTGCTGCAGGCTGAAAATCAGTGATGAATGGGGGGGCACTCAACCCTTCTTTGTCTGGGTAGGCTTTCGCTTAAGAAGAGTCAAGTTAAATTAGCAGAGACGGGCCGGGCACAGTGGCTCAGCCTGTAATCCCAGCACTTTGGGAGGCCAAGGTGGGTGGATCACTTGAGGTCGGGAGTTGGAGACCAGCCTGACCAACATGATGAAACCCCGCCTCTACTAAAAACACAAAAATTGCCAGGCGTGGTGACACATGTCTGTAATCCCAGCTACACGGGAGGCTGAGGCAGGAGAATCACTTGATACCGGAAGGTGGAGGTTGCGCCGCTGCACTCCAGCCTGGGCAACAAGAGTGAAACTCCATCTCAAAAAGAAAAAAAAAATGAGCGGAGATGGAATGTTCTTCAAATGCACGGTATAAGGCTCATTAGGAGATTTTACTTTTTGGGCTTCAGTATGTCCTGACAGTGAAGAGATGGAATCACATATTAAGTGTGAATTTTAAGGCCGGGCGTGGTGGCTCAAGCCTGTAATCCCAGCACTTTGGGAGGCCGAGGCGGGTGGATCACGAGGTCAAGAGATTGAGACCATCCTGGTGAACATAGTGAAGCCCTGTCTCTACTAAAAATACAAAAAATTACCTGGGCATAGTGGCGCATGCCTGTAATCCCAGCTACTCAGGAGGCTGAGGCAGGAGAATTGCCTGAACCCAGGAGGTGGAGGTTGCGGTGAGCCGAGATCGCACCATTGCACTCCAGCCTGGGTAACGAGCAAAACTCCATCTCAAAAAAAAAAAAAAGTGTGAATTTTAACTTTTTTTTTTTTCATTTTTGAGTTGGAGTCTCACTCTGTCACCCAGGCTAGAGTGCAATGGTATGATCTTCGGCTCACTGCAATCTCTGCCTCCCAGGTTCAAGCAATTCTCCTGCCTCAGCCTCCTGAGTAGCTGGGATTATAGGCGCCCACCACCACATCCAGCTAATTTTTGTATTTTTAGTAGAGACGGGGTTTCACCGTATTGGTTGATCTCTTGGCCAGGCTGGTCTCGAACTGCTGACCTATTGATCTACCTGCCTCAGTCTCCAAAGTGCTGGGATTATAGGCGTGAGCCACTGCACTTGGCATGAATTTTAACTTTTAATTTACTTACATAGATAGTTTGAAAGAGAATTTTCTTGGTACTGAGGGAATTAAAGGTTTGATTTTTTTTTTAGACAGAGTCCTGCTCTGTTGCCTAGGCTGGAGTGCAGTGACGTGATCTTGGCTCACTGCAACCTCTGCTTCCCAGGTTCAAGTGATTCTCCTGCCTCAGCCTCTTGAATAGCTAGGATTACAGGCACCTGCCACCACGCCTGGCTACTTTTTGTATTTTGAGTAGAGACAGGGTTTTGCCATGCTGGCCAGGCTGATCTCGAACTCCTGACTTTGTGATCCTCCCACCTCGGCCTCCCAAAGTTCTGGGATTACAGGCATGAGCCACCTCACTGAGCCTAAATGTTTGATTTTAATCTCTGGTCACCATCTGTGGGCCTGGCAGATGTGAGCCCATCTGTGTATCTGAGGCAGGACTCAGAATTCATAAATTCAAAGGATGACAAGAGTGGAACATGAAGGTAGACATGCCTTGATGTGGCAGGCTTCTCTCTGACAGCTAGCTATCTTTATTTTTGTCTGGTCTAACTTCAGCTTAACCATGTGATATTTGAAATTGAACATTGTTAGGCCGTGAAAGGTCAGCTGCCAGAGAAGCACACGATTTTGTTTTTGTCCACTGCTAAAGACTAAGTCTAAGTCTAGGAAATCCAAAGCAGGAATTCTCATGGTGGGGGTCGGGGGCGGGGAGGTGCACTTTTACCAAGTACAGATATCCCTCTGCTCTGTAAGAATGAATACTCTCCCACACCTACCCACAATCCCTTGATTCAGTCTTGGCATATTTTTCAGTCTTTCGTGAGACCAGATGAATAGACGTGGTCAGTGAGGGGGGTAGTTACTAGCGCTGTTAATTTCCATTCCTTTACATTAGCAGTATTAGTGTTTACTATAGTTCTGTACTATGTTCTGTCATCACACAAAATCACAATTTCACCTGTAAAAGCTATTCCTGAAGAGAATTTCAGGGAGTTACTTTACATGAGTTTATTTTTGGCTGTAGAGCAGGAGGCAATGAGTAGCAAAGAACATAAAGGGCAACAAGAGAAATGACATTGATCAAGGATTATCCTATGTGCCAAGCATAGTTTAAGCACAGTACACGCTGAAACCCAGGAAAGTGTATGCATTTTTATGTTGTAGTTACCACCTAAAACAGTATTAAAACATATATTTGCTTCACTTTGAAATTAGTCTAAGAAATAATAAATAAAAGGAAGAAATATCTCTGCAAATAAGCCTTATAGTTTGATATATGTTTGAAGAGCTTCCCCTTGATACCCTAAGGCATGACTTGCAGTTGATCTGTTGTGCAAAAGTAGCTGAAGTGCCCAAGTGTATTAGAGATAAGCTACCCGCTACCTCTGAGCATTAAGGGTATAGTAGATACCAGCCAGGCTGTTTGGTGCATTGGTTAAGCTGGTGGGTTAGATAATTGGAGATCTGTTAAGAGAGCCTTTCGCGTAAGTGGCAGACTTGGGGTTTGGTTCCAGATGTTCTGATTTCAAAGATTATTCTCTTAAGAGACTTAACCATTGGGCTATCAATTTTCTTATTGGAAGAGATATTTACAGAATTGAGTGAATGAGAGGAAGGAATAGCAAAACTTCTACCAGGTAGGATTTCAGGACAGTTTTGTCTCTTTCTTTTTTTTTTTTTTTTTTTTTTTTGAGATGGAGTTTTGCTCTTGTTGCCCAAGCTGGAGTGCAGTGGCACGATCTCTGCTTACCGCATCCTCTGCCTCCCGGGTTCGAACAATTCTCCTGCCCCAGCCTCCTGAATAACTGTGATTACAGGCACCTGCTATCACTCCTGGCTAATTTTTTTGTATTTTTAGTAGAGATGCTGTTTCGTCATGTTGGCCAGGCTGGTCTCAGACTCCTGACCTTGTGACCTGCCAGCCTCGGCCTCCCAAAGTGCTGGGATTACAGGCATGAGCCACTGCACCCAGCCAGTTTTGCCACTTTCTAAAAAATCATTTGCAGATTTTCTGAAGGCTGTTATGGCTAGTATTTCAATGGGTTTCTTTTCATATATATTATTTTTATTTTTAAAAATAGAGATGGGGCCAGGCGAAGTGGCTCACGCCTATAGTCCCAGCACTTTGGAAGGCCGAGGTGGGTGAATCATCTAAGGTCAGGTGTTCGAGACCAGCCTGACCAAAATGGTGAAACCCTGTCTTTACTAAAAATACAAAAATTAGCTGGGAGTGGTGGCGTGTGCCTGCAGTCCCCAGTTACTCAGGAGGCTGAGGCAGGAGAATTGCTTGAACCCAGGAGGCATAGGTTGCAGTGAGCCAAGATTGTGCCACTGCATTCCAGCTTGGAGGACAGAGTGAGACTCTGTCTCAAAAAAAAATAGAGACAGGGTCTCACTGTGTTGCCCAGGCTGGTCTGGAAATACTGGGCTCAAGTAATCCTCCTGCCTCAACTTCCTAAAATGCTGGGATTACAGGTGTGAGGCACCATGCCTGCTCTCAAAGGGTTTCTTGGCTGGAGAATGTGTGCAAGCAGATCTATCTGTAGGGCCACCTGGGTTCAGAGATGGAGGATACACAATGCCGCTATCACATTATTTTGGGGAATAGGATCTCCCGTTTCATACAAATAGCATTTCTCCACTAATGCTTGAAATATCACTGTTAGAAAACTGTTTTTTGAAGAGATTACATTGTAAAAAAGATTTATATTAACTTAATGAAGCTTTAATTGTAAGAAAGGGTTGGATGATTTTAAGTGGGTCATCCCCTCCCTCCCATCAACCTCACCAGAAAAATTGGGGTCACCAACTTGGCCTTTCACCTTTTGATATCATCAAGGTTAGCATTATTCTTTCTTGTGTGATGTTAAAATAGCATATTCCCCCAAATGTCTAAAAACGCCGATGATAGAAATTTCAGAAATAGACATTTGGGAAAATATTATATAATCAAGTTGTATTAATTCTCGTCAACGACCATTTCTAGTCTTTTTGTTGTTGTTTGAAAAAACAAACAAAAAAATCAGTCCAGAACAGAAGCACTGGAAAAGAGATATACAAAAGGACATTTTCCTGCAAAGAAGCTGATTTATGAATAACAGAAAGACATTTACATTTTTTCCTCCTGTCAGGGTGATGATTATCTTGTGTAAATGCCTGGTTCTTCAGGGTAGGCAGGTTGGAGATTATACTTGGGGGGCCCTTACTTGGTTGAACTGTGAGGCTAGAGACACAAAAAGCTTTTTGCAGAGACTGAAATGGTCTCACAGTGGCAGATTCAGTAGCCCTGGGGGTCACAGCAAGCAGCCATGGCAACCCAGCCATACAGGGAAGTTTTCATCCACTTAAGACAGAGAATACTTAAAGACTTCTGAATGAGGACAAAGCATTGTGCAGATTCTTGCTTCTAATTCTGTTTTGCTCCATGTAGAGAGTGAGTCTTGAGGATACTTAGTGGGAGAGTCTGCGGAGGACTTAGCTCTCCAACTTTTCCACTAAGATTCCCGCAGTTCTAATTACCTGTGGAAATGTGGGGAACAGCTTCTGTTTTATATCTAATTTGAGTAAACTTTCACTTTTAATATGCCAAATTCGAATTCAAAAGAGATCCAGATACAAAGCATTTTTAGGTTTGCTTAAGTACAATCTACTGGCTCAGACACACGGCATGCTGGCGGGTGTAAAGCTTTTGGGGCAAAGCAACACTCACCTCTCTGGAGTTGCTGGTGCCTGTGGCTGCTGAGGGGAAGGAAGCGCGTGGCCAAAGTTTTCAGGGCTCTCGGCTCTGTCTGAATCCTTGTGGTTTAATGATTTCTCTGGGAGGACGGGTCACAGCTGCCCTGAGTCCAGGAAGAAGTATTTCCTCTCTTTGCAACAAAGGGAGATAAATAATCTTTTAAGTTATTGCCCTGGAAAAGGAAATGTGGTTTGCCAGTGGTTAAGTAAATCTGTTGTACGTTAGTTAGTCAACAGCGTCTGGGTGACACCATTGCTGGCCCTGATTCAAGAGAAAGGACTGCTGTGGGCATTCAGGTCACTTCCAACTACCTACTCTAATTATGCTACTTTTCTCATTAAACTGCAGATAATTGTGGCTATGATGTAAGTGTATCTGAATTTTTCCAAAATGCTACTTATTAGGAAAGGAAAAGGATCAGAGAAGACAGCATATTTTCTCAACCTCTTTAAACTTGTTCAGCTGCTGCTTTTGCATTTTTCATTGGGAAATTGGTAGCCTGAAGGCTTACTGCAGCTGTGGATGTATTTTGTTTGTGAAGCAGTGTTTTCCAGAGTTTGAATTAATTTTCCACATTTAAAGTCAGGAATCTTAGCCATCTAGATTATCGGCTTCTCATGAAAATATTAGCAGACCTGGGAACAGTGGGTCTATGTCCCAACAAGGATACTGTTCGAGGTGTCTGCACAGAGGCTTACTCCCAGCACCACCTGCCTACTTTTGGCTCGGCATCGAGGTTCCAGCTCCGCACCCTCCTCCTCTGTCCTCCTCACTCACGGACACCGTCTGGATCCTCTAGCAATGTGCACTTTCAATTTTTTTAAATCTTTCTAATTTTTTTCCTATTGAGTTTCTTCCATTTTGGAAAATTGAATATGCAGAATAATAAGTCACTGGGTGCTTATTTTTATTGCATAAGGAACTTGTGATTTGTTCATTGAAAAAAATGAATACCCAATGTTTCCATTGTAAAACCTGAATGCAGTATAAAGCACTGTGAAATTAACAAAACCAACCTTGCCGAGCTCAACTGTGGAATGGAGGCATGAGGAGAGGAGGCGTAGCAGGGAGCAGTCCACCTAGGTGTAGGCAATAAGGGGCCTTCTGTCTGTAGAGAATTTAAGAACGATAATAAAACCAAATAAGCCCTCCTGCTTTTTGTTGTAACCATGTGCCAGCAATTCTCAGGTCAATCACGAAATGCTCCTCCCCTCAAGAGACCTTGTTGGTTTCAGTTGTAAACAATTACTGTGATTATGATGAGCTGTCTTTTCATGTGTATGATTATCTACTCTTAAATAGACAATATATTTTACATAAAAGCTAAGTATTATTATTTTAATCTTCGTTATTTCGCTTTAATAGACAATGTAGTTTACATTGAAGATGACAATTATAAAGCTGGCCCGATGCCATGTATTGATTTAGATATGTTTTCTTTTGAGATTCAGTTGATAATTGTTCCAAAACATTGGCACAGATTGTATTTTCCCACTATGAGGCCACATGTGCCTGCATTCAAACAATAGGTTTAAAATACATAATAATAGCATAATCAGGGCAAAAACAAAGAAGCAGAACTTAAGTCATTTCAACTTCTTTATTCCATATTCTGTCTTGGAATTTTTAGGTTTTGTTTGTTTGTTTGTTTGTTTTTTGAGACAGAGTCTTGCTTTGTTGCCCAGGCTGGAGTGCAGTGATGCGATTGGGGCTGGCTGCAACCTCTGCCTCGAGGGTTCAAGCGATTCTTCTGCCTCAGCCTTCTCAGTAGCTAGGACTTCAGGCGTGTGCCACCATGCCCAGTTAATAATTTGTATTTTTAGTAAAGCCGGGGTTTCACTGTGTTAGCCAGGATGGTCTCGAACTCCTGACCTTGTGATCTGCCTGCCTCGGCCTCCCAAAGTGCTGGGGTCACGGCATGAGCCACCGCGCCTGGCATGACATTTTTAGTTTTTATAAATTTTAAACAGTGCTTGTAAATTTTAGACCACAGATAAATTTTTTTGTTGAATTTGGATATTTTTTACATTAAAAAAATTTTTTGGGGGGGATGGAGTCTCCCTCTGTTGCCCATGGTAGAGTGCAGTGGGTGATCTCAGCTCACTGCAACCTCCGCCTCCTGGGTTCAGGCGATTCTCCTGCCTCAGCCTCCCCAGGAGCTGGAATTATAGGCATGCGCCAGCATGCTGGGCTAAGTTTTGTATTTTTAGTAGAAACGGGGTTTTGCCATGTTGGCCAAGCTGGTCTCTAACTCTTGACCTCAGGTTATTCGCCTCCCTTGGCCTCCCAAAGTGCTAGGATTACAGGTGTGAGCCACTGCGCTAGGCCTAAAAATTATTTTTAAAAATGATCTATTTTCTCAAGGTAGAAAGTTAGTGCCAGTATAAAGTAAAATCTAAAACAATACAGCTAGGCTCAGTAGCTCACTCCTGTAATCTCAACAATTTGGGAGCTGAGGCAGGAGGATCACTTGAACCCAATAGTTTGAGACCAGCCTGGGCAACATGGTGAGACCCTGTCTCTACAAAAAAAAAAAAAAAAAAAAAAGCTGGGCATGGTGGCTTTCACCTGTTGCCCCAGCTACTTGGGAGGCCGAAATAGGAGGATCACTTGAGCCAGGGACTTCAGGGACTTCGAGACTGCAATGAGGTGTGATTGTGCCAGTGTAATCCAGAACCTGGGTGACAGAGCAAGACCTTGTCTCAAAAACAAAAACAAAAAATAAAAAAAGAGGGATGAAATAAATTAAAAACTTTTAAAAATGTTCTGTTTTAGAACTACAGACTGAATCAAGAAATAAAGGCATTATGGCAATGATGTGATTTAGTAGTTGCCAAAATTGGATCTTCTGCAGACATTTCAGTTTTATTAAAATTTAGTTATTAATTGCTGGACAATTATGTGTGTAAAACATTATGTCATATAACCAAGAGATCTATGGTCGAATTGTTAGTTAGATATAAAAACTGAAGAAATCATTGTCCATTTCTTCTGTTTTTGTACTGTGAATATATATTACTCAGAGTCTCTGTCGCCAGGCTGGAGTGCAATGCCACAATCTCGACTCACTACAACCTCCGCCTCCTGGGTTCAAGCGATTCTCCTATCTCAGCCTCCCGAGTAGTTGGGACTACAGGTGCGTGCCACCATGCCCAGCTAATTTTTTTTATTTTTAGGAGACTGTAACCATTTTATGTGTACGATTCAGTAATTTGCTTTTATATTGTCATGAAACAGACCCCTAGAATGTTTTTACCTTGAAAATCTAAAACTTTATACCCATTAAACAACTACTTCCTTTATTTATTTATTTATTTTTATTTTAATTTTTTTTTTAGAGACAGGTTCTCACTCTATTGCCCAAGCTGGAGTACAGTGGTGTGATTATAGCTCCTGAATTCAAGTGATCCTCCCATCTCAGCCTCCTGAGTAGCTACGACTACGGGCACATGATACCACACCTCACTAATTTTAAGTGTTTTGTTTTTGTAGAGATGGAGTCTTGCTATATTGCTCAGGCTGGTCTCAAATTCTTGGCCTCAAGTGATCCTCCTGCCTCAGCCTCCCAAAGTGCTGGGATTATAGGCATGAGCCACTGTGCCTGGCCTACTTCTCTGAATTTTCAAAAGGGGAGTTCAACTGATCCTTTCAGCCATCCTGAAGAAGGGAGTCAATCTCACAGTGGAATGTAAATAGAAAGAAGGGTCCAAGCAGGTCCTGATAGGATAGCCTGATCTGCCTGGAGTGGCAGAGGTCCAGGGAAGAAGGAGAATAAAAAAGGGCCCAGACCGTCATCTTTACCACAGGCTTTGGAGAGATGCTTGGTATCTTTGAAGTGTCCATAGAATGAGATGGTAGCGGCTTGTTTAGGCTTTACCACGCTATAGTCAGGGTCACCCTGTAGCACCTTCCACTCACCCATTCAAAGGGACTTTAAGAAAAATAACTTTGATCGGGTGCGGTGGCACACACCTGTAATCTTAGCACTTTGGGAGGCTGAGGCTAGCAGATCATTTGAGTCCAGGAGTTAAAGACCAGCCTGGGCAACATGGCGAAACCCCACCTCTACAAAAAATACAAATTCCCAGCTTCTCGAGAGGATGAGGTGGGAGGAGTGCTTGAGTTCGTAAGGTTGAGGATGCAATGAGTTATGTTTATGTCACTTTGCTCTATACTCCAGCCTGGGTAACAGAGCAATACCTTGTCTCAAAAAAAAAAAAAAAAAAAAAGAGAGAGAGAGAGAAAGAGAGAAAAGAAAAAAAGAAAAGAAAACCTAAAAAACCCCCAAAACCAAAAAATTTTTTTCAATTAAGTAAGTTGTGGCCAGGGCATTGTGGCTCATACCTATAATTCCAGCACTTTGGGAGGCTGAGGTGGGAGAATCACTTGAGACCAGGAGTTCAAGACCAGCCTGGGCAACACAAGGAGACCCCCTTTTGAAAATGACAAAAATAATTCTAACCACCACCCCCTCATTTAGAGAAACCAGTCTTGACATTTTGGCATATTGTTTATATTTAAAATATATCTGGCCAGGCGCGGTGGCTCATGCTTGTAATCCCAGAACTTTGGGAGGCCGAGGCGGACAGATCATGAAGTCAGGAGTTTGAGACCAACCTGGTCAACACAGTGAAGCTCCGTCTGTACTAAAAATACAAAAATTAGCTGAGTGTGGTGGTGTGTGCCTGTAATCCTGGCTACTCTGAGGCAGGAGAATCGCTTGAACCTGGGAGATGGAGGTTGCTGTGAGCCAAGATGGTGCCATTGCCTGGGCAACAGAGCAAGACTCTGTCTCAAGAAAAAGAAAAAGAAAAATCTATGCAAGATTAGGTCATACATGGAGTTTTTATGACCTACGCATTTTACTTAGATCATGAGCATTTTTTCATGTTGTTACATATTATTCACAAACATGCTTTTAATGACGGCATAATATCATACTCTACAGAGTTCTTTAAGGCATTTTTAAAAAGTGACAACTAAATTTATTGCCACCCTAGAACACAAAAGTTTCAGTGCTGTCGAACCTGTCTTCCAAGCAATTACTAGTTTATCTTATGCTGAAATAAAGTATTATCAAGTTGGATCCTCAAGGATAAGTACATTTTAAGAAATAGTAAAGTAAAAGACAAAACCTTAGCACAGGCTGTAATTTAGGCAAAATAAAAAGAGAATCTGGTATTATCTGTCAACAAACAGTTTAGAGAGCTTTTTCCATAAAATTAAATAATGACGTGATATGTTATTCCCTGTACTTTTAGCAGTATAATTACAATAATGAGACTTATTTAATATAATGAGACTATATTTTAAAAATGTTATGCCAAGCATGCTACTTGGTGTTGCTTTGCTATTAAGCTACTTAATATTTTCCATTTACATTTTTATGAAATCCAGGAAGAACGTGAGGAGAAATTCTGCTGAATTATAAAGCATATTGAAATAGAAAAAATGAAAGCCTCTCTTGCATCGTCTAGAGTCAGATAGCAACAGAGTTGCAAGCTTATAGCTTCAGCTAGAGTCCACAAGCCCTCTGCGATGAATACAAATTTATAGCGCTTTAAAGCATAATAAAAAGAGCATGCTTGATATTTTATTTCCTCTCCTGTCATTGTGGCTATCAAAAAGTTGCAGTTAATGTCAGCTTTGGAAATTTGTCTGGAAAAAAAACCAAAATTATTACGGCACCAATGCACATAAGGGTGATAAATGCAAAGAGCAGGGCACTCTTGGCCAGAACAGAAAATGGAAATGGCACTGAAGAAATTACTCGCTGGGAGAAAAGCAGAGTCAGACTGATTAAGTGCTGTTGCACTTGGAGATAAAGGGCCCAGCCCTGAGAAAGGCACCGACCACGAATTTTCCAGGAGTGGTCTTTCCTCTCTAGAGTGAGACTCTTCAACTTTCAATTTTGTGATTAGTCCCTTGTTTCAGAGGGAGAGGGGAAATCATCATATACCCATGGCAAAATCTGGGCCATTAGAAGGACCAGTTTTTTAATCCCTGTTGCTCTTGCACTGCCTGGCTGGATGACCTTAAGCATGTTTCTGAAATTATTCAAGCCCTGTTTTTTTAATCTGGAGAATGGAGATAATGATATTACCTATATCATAGTGTTGTGAGGTTTCACTGAGATGGTATATGGAAAGCACATAATGAATAGTTTCAATAAATGTTTGTGTTATTATTATTACTTGATATGAATTGCCCAAGATACTTCTTTCTGGTTATACTTGCTTTATTTTTATTTTTGTGCTTTATTTCTATCACCCAGGTTGGAGTGCAGTGGCGTGATCTTGGCTCACTGCAACCTCCATTTCCCCGGTTCAAGTGATTCTCCTGCCTCAGCCTCTCGAGTAGCTGGGATTACAGGTGCACGCTACCATGCCTGGCTAATTTTGTTTTGTATTTTTAGTAGAGACAGGGTTTTGCCATGTTGGCCAGGCTGGTCTTGAATTCCTGACCTCCCGTGATCCACCTGCCTCAGCCTCCCAAAGTGCTGGGATTACAGGTGTGAGCCACCATGCCCAGCCTTATACTTTTTTCTTTTGAGACGAGGGCTCACTCTGTTGGCCAGGCTGGAGTGCAGTGGCCATCATCTGTAGCCTTGACCTCCTGGACTCAAGTTATCCTCCCATCTCAGCCTCCAAAGTAACTAGGACTCTAGGCATGTGCCCAGCTAATTTTTTTTTCCTGTAGAGTTGGGGTCTCACTATAATGTAGATAAATCCCCAAATTAGGGTCAGTTCAGGAGGGTTATTGATTTCACACAGGAGAGAATTCAAGAATAAGCCAACAGAATACAGTGGAAGCAAAGGAAGTTTATTACAGCAATAGAGTATGGGAAAATGGCTGCTCCATAGGCAGAGCAGGGCTATCCCACAGGCAGAGAGTAGCATATACAAATTGCTGTCCAGCTAGATTTATAGCCATTCACAAAGTTTCTAGAAAAGGGGTAGAGAGGTTTCAGAACCGAGAGTTCCTCCCCTTTTAAGCCATATAAGGTAACTCCTGGGTGTTACCATGACATTTGTAAACTCATGGTGCTGGTAGGAGTGTCTTAGCATGCTAATGTATTATAATTGGCAGTGAGGGCAACTAGAAGTCCCTTTTGTCATTGTCTTGGTTGTAGCTGGTTTTGGCCAGTTTATTTACTGCATCCTGTTTTAACCATATTCTATTTTGATCAGCAGGGTCATGACGGGTGCTCAGAAAACAAGTGCTGCTGATCAACAACCTCAACTATGTTGCCCAGGTTGGTTTTGAACTCCTGGGTTTAAATGACCCTCCTGCCTTGGCCTCCTAAAGTGCTAGGATTACAGGTGTGAGCCACCATGCCCAGACTGTTTTCTGTTGGTAAGGTGCTGTACAACCTCTTCACCTTGTGACAGGGACCACAATTAGCACCTAAAAATCCATTCCCTCCTATTTATCATCAGAACCACAGTTTAACTTAGGACGGCAGTGTACTCAGACAAAACACTACACTTCCCAGCTTCCACTGAAACTGAACATGGTCACTAAGATTTCAGTAGAAAACACTGGCTGGGGCTTCAAGGAAAGCTCGCTCAGATTTCTGGGTATGACTTGGAAGGTCGACAAGATGGCTGTAGCTTCAGCAACTCTTTTGGAAATACAAGGGAAAGGCAAGTGTAGGGCAGAAGTTACCATTACTGTCTCTGTTTGGAAATTCTTGAGGCACTGAAGTAATGCTAGCAACCTTTTATTTCCAGAATTTTTGTCTCTGGAGACATACGAGCTCTTATGTGTTTAGGTCACCATTACTTTGAGTTTGCTATGATATGTTGCCAAACCAAGCTGTGACTCACATACATCACACCGTGTTAAATTCCTTGACAAATAACGACAGTTTTATCATTCAAGGTATCATTACAATAATGTCACGTTGTATGAGGTGATCTGGGTAACTTTGTGTTTGAAACAAATAAATGAAAAACAACTGACTGCAAACTCTCCCTCACAATTTTTGTAACGATGGAATGGAAAGAAAGCACATAAGTTAACCTGCTTAGCACAGTCCCTTACTCATAGTGGTTACTTGGTTCATAGTGGCTAATATTATAGGGCTACCACAAAGGGAAGCAAGCTAGAAAAAAATCCTGTTTATCCTTGGAGTAAAAAGCAGGGACAATCATTTTTATAGGTCATCCGTGGCAATCTGTATTGTTATTTTCCAAACCTTTTTTTGTCTGACAGATTCATTATTCAGGAGGATTTCTCAAAAATAATTGAGACGAGGCCTTAAGGAAAGGCAATGAGACTGGAATTACAAAAGGAGTGGCCTTCTACTTGAAGACAGTGCCAGGTAACAATCTGTAATCTCTGGATGTTACATTTCTGGGATATGAGAGAAGTCATATGACCAAACCCTCTACCCGGTATCCGAAGGGATTAGATCACTGTTCAGTGCTTGCTAGACGTAGATGCAGGAAAAGGCAGCTGTGTCTGGTGGTTAGAGTGTTAGTTGGCCATGGGCTGTTTGTGACTCACATACATCACACCATGTTTGTTGCCTCTTCATTCTTCACAGGTTGCATGTGCAAGTTCAGGTGGAGCTCGTATGTAACATGTGGTGGAAATTTGGGCTGTGATGTCCAAAGGTCACTCACTGGGGAAGCAGGTCTATTCTGAGCTGACTCTAGTCAGCCATATTGGTTCCAGCCAGTTTCAGTCTGTCAACCAATTTTGTTGGAAAGGGAAAGGATTGTGACAAACTGTTCCCTTATTTGCTGTCCTGCAAGACAAACTCAAGAACTTTTTTGTTAGTTCCCAAATTCTCTAACCCTGTCGGGGTGCAGTTTCCGGAGGTTGGCTTATTCTTTCCAGATTCTCTACTCCTATTTGCCGGTGATAAAGCCAGTGTCACAACATGGAGGAGAATTGGCTCAGTGGCTCTGTGTGAAGTTTTAATTTAATTTAATTTATTTTTTGAGAGAGTTGTGTAGGCTGGAGTGCAGTGACGTGATCTCAACTTACTACAACCTCTGCCTCCCAGATTCAAGTGATTCTCCTGCCTCGGCCTTCTGAATAGCTGGAATTATAGGTATGCACCACCAAGCCCAGCTAGTTTTTTGTGTTTCAGTAGAGACAGTTCCACCACGTTGGCCAGGCTGGTCTCGAACGCCTGGCATCCAGTGATCCACCCACCTCAGCTTCCCAAAGTGCTGGGATTACAGGAATAAGCCACTGCACCCGGCCTGTGTGAAGTTTTTTTTTTTTTTGAGACAGAGTTTCACTCTTGTTACCCAGGCTGGAGTGCAATGGCACAATCTTGGCTCACCGCAACCTCCACCTCCTGGGTTCAGGCAATTCTCCTGCCTCAGCCTCCTGAGTATCTGGGATTACAGACATGTGTCACTATGCCCAGCTAATTTTTTGTATTTTTAGTAGAGATGGGGTTTCACCATGTTGACCAGGATGGTCTTGATCTCTTGACCTCAAGTGATCTGCCCACCTTGGCCTCCCAAAGTGTTGGGATTATAGGTCACCAAAAAGATTTATAATTTCAGAAGGTGGTTACCATCTATACTATATAATATAGCTATATAATATAGCTATAAATGATTGTTGTACAAAATGTTTCCTTCCATGTAAATTAGGTCATAGTTTGGATAAGCAGTGCAAAATTCTGGGAAAGCAGTAATCGCACCTTTTGTGTGTTTTACACATCATCTAGGACACCGTGGCTTCACAATAAGATGTTTGTGACACCAAGACTCTCAGGACATTGCCAACAATTTTCAGAGATGCCTTTCTCCTACGTCTAGTGAGAATAAATTTAAGATTAGATAAATACACAGTGTCTAGGAGCTGTCTCTTCCATTTTTTCACTCTTTTACAGCTTAACTAAAAATAGCGTAATGCTAAAACAGACGGGCAATTAAAAAAAAATCCTTGGCATGTGAATAGTGACCTCACTCAGGTTTCATTCTGGGAATGATGTCCATATGAAAGTTTCAAAGTTAATTATTAGTCATTTGTCACAATGACCAACACAGGTTGCGGGGAAGGTCCTTACAGATGTTTTCACCATTGTCTCAAAAAAAAAAAAAAAAATGGAGGTTGTAGTGAGCTGAGATCGCACCACTGTACTCCAGCCTGGGTGACAGAACAAGACTGCCTCAAAAAAAAAAAAATATTTTTTGTGATAGTGAAAAACAAGCTAATTCAACTCTACGCTGTATATAAGAGGCACACATAAATCAAAGAGATTATGGTATATATGGATATACCATATGCAATGGAGTCTTTTGCAGGTGACAGAGAAATAAAGACAATCTTTGTGTACTTAAGAGTGATCACCATGATACATTTTGGCAAAAAAAAAAAAATGACAGTCTAGAACTGTGTTATAGTATGCTAATATTTTATTAAGACAAGGTGTGTGCGTATGTGTCTATATGTGAATATGTGTGTGTATACATGTGTGCTCACACACACTTCTGTGTATACTTATTGTTGGAAATGGCTTCTTGGTGCTACAAAGAAAAATCAGCATTGAGACAAAAGATATTTTGACAAGGCAATTTTTACTTTCTGCAGAAAGGGTGCTCTTGTCAGCTATCTTGCCACGAGAGTACAACAAACAAAGGAAAAGCAGACACATTTATCCTTTACGCATTTGGGGTGGTCTGTACTGCTGTGTCTGATCTTCTTTAGCTTGGGCTAGACTTCACAATCTAAAACTGAACTTGACTGGCTAATAACTTAAAACTTTTTTGAATAGGTGAAAGCAACGGAGAACAAAAAGGAAGTCTAAATAAGGAAGAGGCATAGGCTGCGAGTTGGGACATGCTTGTGAGCACGTCTAGCCCAGATATGTTGGTTAAAGCACAAGGACATAGAATGTACTACGTGCCTGTGAGCATGTTTAACAGCTACATAGGATAGGGCTTAACAAAAAAGCTATTTAAAAGCAAGAAGGCTTTGAAGAAAGTTAGTCTTTAAAAGAGACTATTATTTCTAACATTTATTATTAATTTTTTTAGTAAGAAAGGAAACTTTGAAGAGGGACTTTTCTACTTCCCACGCTTACATTAAAATGATTATCTGTAAATGGGATAGTATAAAAGGTGAAAAAGATAGGAATGAAAGCTATCCCTATCAACAAGCCCTTCCCTTTGCAGCAAAAGGTTTCTAAAAAGCGCCTTGAGCTGGGCATCATGGCTCATGCCTGTAATCCCAGCTACTTGGGAAGCTGAGGTGGGAGGATCACTTGAGTCCAGGAGTTTGAGCCTGTAGTAAGCTATGACTATGCCACTATGCTCCAGCCTGGGTGACAGAGTAAGAACCTGTCCTACAAAAACCAAAAAACATGTATCTTGATATATAATTCTGTTTTTGTAATTATATTTGTTATATTTAATTAAAAGAATAAAACTGAATCAAATGAGAGCAGTCTTTAAAAATGGAAAACAATCTGAAACTAATGAACCTAACTGTGTGTCGAGTTGGTAGCATATTCATACAGGAAAAAAAAAATTCCTTCAAGTGACTTTAAAATACAGTATTTTTCCTGCACATCCTTATGAGATATAATTTAAGAACAAAAGAAGTACAAAGAAACTTGAAACTGCAGTCGGTATTTATTGATAGTAGAAATATTGGCATTATTTAAAACTAATATTGCTATATTGAAAAGTAAAGTGAAATTAAAACATATAAATATCATTCAGAATGAAGATATTCAGTAATCAGTACAAGAGCAAAGAAATAATGTACAAAAATGAAGGAAGTTTATATTCATGGGTTAATCAAACAAAAGAAATGTATAAATTAATATGAATGAAATAATTTAAAACAATTATTAAAAAAGAAAAAATATAAAAATATTTAAAAATCAAGAAAGTTAAAACATTTTAAATTTGAATTGAAAATATAAGAATGAACTCAAAATTATATTTTTCTCTTAAAAATGTACATTTTAGCAGGCCGGGCACAATGGCTCACACCTGTAATCCAGCACTTTGGGAGGCCGAGGTGAGGGGATCATGAGGTCAAGAGTTCGAGACCAGCCTGGCCAACATGGTGAAACCCTGTCTCTGGGTGCCTGTAATTCCAGTTACTGAGGAGGCCAAGACATGAGAATTGCTTGAACCTGGGAGGTGTAGGTTGCAGTGAGCCAAGACTGTGCCATTGCACTCTAGCCTGGGCAACAGAGCAAGACTCTGTCTCAAAAAAAAAATGAGGCCAGGCGCGGTGGCTCACGCCTGTAATCCCAGCACTTTGGGAGGCCGAGGCGGGTGGATCACGAGATCAAGAGATCAAGACCATCCTGGTCAACATAGTGAAACCCCGTCTCTACTTAAAATAGAAAAAATTAGCTGGGCATGGTGGCTCGTGCCTGTAATCCCAGCTGCTCAGCAGGCTGAGGCAGGAGAATTGCCTGAACCCAGGAGGCGGAGGTTGCGATGAGCCAAGATCGCGCCATTGCACTCCAGCCTGGGTAACAAGAGCGAAACTCTGTCTCAAAAAAAAAAAAAAAAAAAGTACATTTTAGCTCTGTTTTCCAAAACATCTGGAAGTAATAAAAAGCAGGTAGTGACAAGCTCCAGTTGAGACTGGATTATAGTCTCTATCCATTTTCTTTACAAAGCTGTCGAGCTCTTTGGAAAAATGATAGGAAATATATACTACCTATGTAAGATTGGTACCTATATGAGCTGGAAAACAAACAAGGTATAAATTAAGTCAAAAGGATAAAAGAGCCATCTTTTTTTTTTTTTTTCCTTTGAGATGGAGTCTCACTCTGTCACCCAGGCTGGAGTGCAATGGCACGATCTTGGCTCACGACAATCTCCACCTCCTGGGTACAAGTGATTCTCCTGCTTTGGTCTCCTGAGTAGCTGGGACTACAGGCATGAGCCACCATGCCTTGCTAATTTTTGTATTTTTGGTAGAGACAGGGTTTCACCATGTTAACCAGGCTGGTCTTGAATGCCTGACCTCAGGTGATCCTCCTGCCTTGGCCTCCCAAAGTGCTGGGATTACAGGCATGAGCTACCATACTGAGACCTAAAAGAACCATCTTAAATGGCCTTTCTCTGGTCTTAGAAGAGACATTTTGGGCAGAAATCAAGATAAATAATGACTGCAGCTCATCAAATATATTAAAAATCTATGAGTTCATAATGACACTGAAGGAAAAGCTAATTGGTCACTATTTGGAGGTTGTTAGGACATTATAACTCATTTATGGTCATTACCCTGTAAATAAGGACAAAATTAAGCATATTCCTGTATTTCTTGTGTACACTATGCCCAGTATAGCCAAATAATTAATAAAGGAGTTTTTATCTATGTAAAAATACCAGCTTATAATTGTAGGGGGAAAAAATGATAGGATTAGAAAATCACCCTTTTGCAACTCCTAAAGACATATGGATCTAGGCAATGATCTTCAGTGGATGCTAAAATAAGTAGATTAAAGGTTGATGGAGGAACTTTACAAATGAAGAATTAGGCTGCCTGAACCCAACTGATCAATCTTAACATCACTAAATGTGGGCCAGCCAGACATTCTATGCCTCTTAATGTGATAAAATAGAAAGTGTACAGCATCACCTATGAAGTATTCCTGCCTAAAGTAAATTGAGCCAAATAGAATCAAATCTCTAAATCTAACTACCATTTTGCAGGAAATGTTGGGGATGGAGGAAGAGTTAAATGACATTATGAGAAAGCAAACAGCCACATCTAAAATGTGTAACGTTCTAAAGGATATATGATTCTCCAACAAATTTATTGTATGAGAATCAAAGGAGAGATGAGGGACTCATAAAATAAAAGTGATTTAAGGGGCTTTATTTATTTATTTATTTTTCAGATGGAGTTTTGCTCCTGTTGCCCAGGCTGGAGTGTAATAGCGCGTTCTCAGATCACTGCAACCTCTGCCTCCCAGGTTCAGGCGATTCTCCTGTCTCAGCCTCCTGAGTATCTGGGATTACTAGTGCATGCCACTATGCCCAGCTAATTTTTGTATTTTTAGTAAAGATGAGATTTCATCATATTGGTCAGACTGGTCTCCATCTTCTGACCTCAGGTGATCTGCCCGCCTCAGCCTCCCAAAGTGCTGGGATTTACAGGTGTGAGCCACCATGCCCGGCCTTAAGGGCCTTTATAACTGGATAAAATCTGTAG